AATGCAGAGTCCTTCATCCACAGGCGTGGGCAGAAGTTGGGGCTCAGGGCCTAGTCATCCATTCAGGCCTGGGAGAACTCAGTGAATCACGAACAATGGCCTTCGCCTGTGTGCCCACTGGGTGTGACTCACAGCTCCCAACTGCTTGGGCAGCCGGTGCACAGCTGGGCCTGGCATCTGGATGACAGAATCACCAGGCGCAACAGCCCACCACTCCGGTGGCCAGCCACTGCAGACCAGTCCTGCGGTGGGCTTGCCAGTCTCCATGCCAGTCCAGGGGATGGCAACTCAAAACAGAAGCCCCTTGCAAAGCACAGGAAGACCCCTGCCATCTCACTGTGTGATCTCAGGCAGCTGCTCCCATCTCACAGCCCCTCTCATCCATTACAAAATGGGGGGACTCCCCAGGGAAGCTCTGCCCTGCTCCAGAGCCCAAGTCACAAACAACAGCACCTGACTAACTTCCCAGAGTCTGTCTGGGGTCCTGCTTTCAGGAAGTTATATAAATATCCTTCAGGGAAACAAAAGTCAAACATAAAGACCCCACTTTTAGTTTTTTAAGAAAATCAAGAAGTCCTTTTTATAGTTCAGCTTCCCCGTCCTGCTGCCATTGTTCCAAATATCCTCCCAGGACCCAGAAAACACATTTGGTTTCCTCCTGGAGCTGGACTTCTTGGTATTCTTCCTCTCAGAAGCCGCTCCACCCCTTCTTGGCAGCCTTGTCCCAGGGCACCCCAGCTTCTAGCCCTTGCATTGTCCTGGCCACCCCGAGGCAATCCGTCTGCCTGCCATGCACAGCACAGGGCAGGGCGGGGGTACTGTTTGGAAATCAGCCCTTCTCTGGCTGTAAAATCTAACAGACAATTCTGGTTCTGGTCCCATCAGGGACTCTGATACCCTACACAGCAGGGTGAGCTCCTGCTCCTGGCTGGGCCTCAGTTCTCAACCTATAAGGTAAAAGGTTCATAAAGTGCTGGGGAAGCCCTTGGACTCCTGGGAAATACACTAGGGACACTGAGGCAGGAAGGAATGGCAGAGTGGACTCAGATCTTAACTCTCCCATCCAAAGGAGGTCCATTTTATCTTGCCGATCTGATCTCCTGCCCTAGCTGGGAGGCCTTACACTCAGCACCAAGCCTCAGCCTTCAGACGGCCCATTCACAAAACCAGAGACCAACAATGTCTACAGTGGAGGCCCAGCTTGAAAGCGAGAGTGCCAACCACCCTGGCACTGTCCACTGGCCCTCCCCCAAGGCCTGATTCACTCATTTGACAGACTGTACACTGCGGATAGCTTTAAAAAAAAAATCAATCTAACCAGGCATAGTGGTGCACACCTGTAACCCCAGCGCTGGGGAGGCTGAGGCAGGAGGGTCACGGTGAGTTCAAGGCCAGCCTGCACTACATAGTGAGGCCCTGTCTCAAAAAAACAAGAAAGAAGAGGGAGAGGAGGAGGAGGAAGAAGGGGAAGGGGAAGAGGAAAAGCAATCTAAATTCTGCTACGCACACACACACACACACACACACCAGCGTATATTCTCTAAAACAGGACCCACACATACTGTCCAAGCCCAGCCCTGGTTCCAGCCTCGCAACACAGCTGGCATATTCCCTGCCATCCACAAACCCAGCTCCACTCTTCCTGCCCCCTGGTCCAACCCTACCCAAGCTGCTTCACACTGTACCGTAACACACTAGGCTCTGGCTGTGCCCTGCTGCTGTGGAGCTAGACTGTTTCCTGGGCTATACGACCCGTCCCAAGGCTACTGCTACTGCTACCGCTCTTTGAAGACACTGCTCTTTTCTCCCTTTGAAGGGAGAAACTGGGCTTTACTCGAAGTCCTCTGCTTGTGCTGCGTATCTTAATATGCTGAAAACAAGAGCACCAAGAAGAAGGCATCCGTTTTTCTAACAAGATGGTTCTCAAATGGCACCAGAATCCCCTGGCGGGCATCTTGAAGCACATGCCAGCCACATGTAGTGCCACACAGGCTACTTTGGAGCCTGAGGCAGGAGGATTGCAATTCAAGACCCATCTGGATAAGTGAGTGAGACTGTCTCAAAATAAAAAATACAAAGAGCTAGGAAAAAGCCAGGTATGGCAGTGCACCCCTGAAGTCCCAGCAGGAAGAGCTGCTGTGAGTTCCAGGCCAGCCTAGACTTCATAATGAGACCCCATCTGAATAAGTAAGACCAAGGGATGCACCTCAGAGCTCGGGAGCTGGCGAGGACAAACCAGAGTCAGTAGCTTGGGGTGGGACCAGATAATGTGCGTAAGTTTCCAAGTGATGCTGCTGGCCCACAACTCAACTTTAGAGAACCACTGATTCAACTTACAAGTGACACAGTTTCTAGAAACAGACCATGCTTCTTTGTATAAAAGCAGGAGCAGGACCAGCACAGGTGTAAGGCGGAAGGGCCTGCAGCCCAAGGCCACAGCCTGAGGAAACCCTCAATTTCCTCATCTGGCCTCTGCCTGGGCAGGCAGCTATGTGCAAGGCCGCTGGTGTGAACCAAACGTGTCTGCCACTGGGAAGTAACTACAGCAGACCTGCACCTACTGCCACCTGGGGACATGCCTCGGCAAGCCAGTCCTCGGCCAGCCTAGAGATGCTGGCGAGTCCAGCCCTTCCTCACAGAGCCGGGCCTAAGGTCTGAAGGAGACAGAATCCCCACGTCTGTCACAGGAGCCTTGGATTTAGTTTCTCTGCTCCAGAAAAGTAGAGCTCGTTCCCTCCCGCCGTGACCCCACCACCTTGCCTTGCCGGGGTATTTCTGTCGTTTCCTTTCACACTGAGTCGAAGTTAGTCTCCCTGGTACATCCCTTGGCTGTAACCCAGACTCTAGAAACTCCTCCCACCCACCCTTCTAGGCCATACTTGTCACATCTGCTAAGCAGGAAGGCAGCAGCCCCATCTCCTACTGCTGTCCGCCTTCATGAAGCAGAACGCCACCAACCACGACAATCAGATCTAATGACTGTCCCACCGTTTTCTCTCTTCCACTTTTGTTTATTTTTTGAGACAGGGTCTTACCACATAGCCCAGGCTGTCCAGAAACTTGCAACCCTTCTGCCTCAGCCTTCTGAGTGCCCAGATTCCCACATTATCTTTCTAAATGCTGCAAAATGGGTACAATGAGTATCCCCTGTGGGATTATCCCCCTTGGGACTTGTCCAAGGTCCCACAAGCTGGAAGTCACTTAGTAAAGCTCTGACCACAGTCCATCTGGCTCTGTGCCTCACTTTCACACTTGGCTGTCTAGATCAAAGCAACATCACGTCTCCCTGCCACCACTTGCTTCTCCTTCCCAGGGGACAAGCAGCCTCCCGGCGCTCCAGCCCATGCTTGTATGGGATGGGTCCCTGGTCATGAAAGCAGCTCCAAAACCACCAGCCCAACTCATCTGGTGCCAGCTTTAGATGCCCTTCAGCATAGCCACTGAGGGACTCAAGAGGCTTAACTGGGGACAGGAAAGAAGACAGAAAGCACAGGCCTAGCAAAGCGAGGAAATTTGGCTTCCTGGATGTGAATCAGTACCTCTCAGCTTCTCTTCTGAAAAATGCTTCTTGGGCCATGAGGCAGAATGTCCAGAATCTGCCCTTGTCCCCAGATCACCTCAGATTCTGGGGTCTTCCATCCCTGCAACAAAGCGAGTCTGTCTCTGAACCATTCCCACCTACGGGGCTCTACTATGTATCGGGAACTGCTTTGCTCAACTTCCCTACCAAAACACCACTGTTTTTAGCCCCATCTTGTAGGGAAGGTAGCTAATACCTTGAGAGACTGAGGGTATTTTGCCCTACAGCTAATGGTGGCAGAACTGGGATCTAAACTCAGAACTCTGGGCTGCCCACCTCTTCTGGAAATGGACCACGCATAGCCCTACCTCTGGAGTAGAGCCTAGAGGAGATGAAATGGGTTTTTAAGGAACCATAGTTCAAAGCCAGGACAGAAGGGCCACATAACAGTGCCTGTGCCTACAAAGAGCGTGGGCAATGCTAGCTCTGGAGAATGAGAAATGAAAGCATGGCAGAGGTGATGCCCGGAGCTGCACAATGCCAAGAAGACATGGCCGGAGGCAGGGCAAGCGATGGGGCTCCTCACTGCTAACAGAGATACAGAAGTAAGAAGGGACAGGGCACAGCCAGCAGGGTGAAAGGAGAGAAGCTCTGGCCGGGGAAAGGGGATTCCTACACTTGTGATCCCAGCACTCTGGGAAGCTGGATTCCAAGTTTGAGCTCAGCTTGTACAATTTAGCGATACAGTGAGACCCTGTATCAAAAAATTAAAAACAGCTGTGAATGTAAAGCAACGCAAAGGCCCTGGGTTCAATCCCCAGTGCTGAGTATGAACAGAGCAGAGGCAGGCGCTGCCTGAACGTCGAGGGGGATGAGGCAAGAAGCGCTGTCAGCATATGGTAAGGCCGTCTCCCACACCTTGCTCTCAAGTAAATGATCACTCATGTGTCTTGTACGTTTTCAATTTAGAAGCTGGGCATGGGCAGTGCCCATAATTCCAGCACTCAGAAGGCTGAGGCAGGAGGACCATCATAGTGAATGTAAGACCTTGTCTAAAAAAAAAACCCAAAAAGACCAAGGAAAAAGAAGTTACTTAATTTAGAGTAACCCACTCAAGATAAAGAAAAGATAAAAGTTTCAAGATAAAGAAAAGCAAAGCCAAGAGGCAATTTAGGACCAAGTGTCCTCTATCTAGAAAAGAATGTTGGTGGTCCTCTGGTGTTAGCCCCGAAGCCGAGGAGTTCAAGACACAGCTTCCCTTCCAGAGCTCCAGCCCTCCGAGACCCAAGCTGAAAGGCCAAGCTGCAGAGAGAGCAGCCCCACATGGAACCCTCCTCTGTGAGCCCACAGCCCACGGGCCAGAGCCCAGAGGCACCCCAGCACGGGGAAGGAGAGGACAACCATGCGCCCCGGACATCAGGTGCCCTCCTCACTTTCACATTCACAAACTCACAGCCTGTTTCTCAACCCCAGCACTCACCCCGACTCGTGACTCAGCTTCAGTGCTCACAGCTGAGAACAGAGGGGAGACCAACCCCATTTCATAGACAGGGGAGGGGAAGCAGAGGTTCCAGGCCTCCGTGAAACCACAGTCCTTGAAGTGCAGGCTCTGGCCACTGCCCCAGACACCCCTAGGGGCCGGGCTGCGTGAGCTCCCAGGCAGGCGCTGCAGCACAGTGGGGATGGGACTTCCCAAGACCGCACAAGGGCAGCTCAGAAAGCCATGAGAAAGGCAGGGGCTGGATGCTGGCCAAGCACCACCCAGGCGCTGAGGTTCTCGGGTGAAAAGGGAACTGAGAACAGCCACCAAGGCTGACCCTGCCGGGGCACATCCTCCGGCACCCTCTCCACTCAGCGTCTGATTTGCATACCCTTCAGCAAAGGCCTCCCTGCACAGGGCATTTCGGGGTCAGCTTTCCTAAAGCTGCCACCTCTGGTACTGTCTCTGCCATGAACGCCCCGTATGGGTCAGGTATGATGGCCACGTCTGTAATCCAGGCACAAGGCTGAGGCAGCGGAATCACTGAGTTTGAGGCCAGCCTGAACTATGTAGTGAGACCCCAAGGGCTCTGCCCGTGGCCTGCAGGGATCTGAAAGGGGTGGTACTGCTCCTCAGTGTTGTGCCCCCACACCTGAGGCCACCTGTGATGACACCCACATCATCCTGCAGCCCCCTCCCGCCTCCTTCTCAGTCCCAGGACCCAAGTCAGACTTTGCTCTGCCCTTTGCTGGGCCAGGATAAGCATCAACCCGGGGCTGGTCCCAACCCTGCGGGTCTCACCACTGCCTTCAGTCAAATGAGTCCTGAGAAAAGCAACATGATAGGGCTCACAGAGATCGGGTGTGGGTTCGAATTCCAGCTCTTCTAGAGCCTCTACCTCTCTGAGCCTCTGTCTCCCCAATCTGAAAATAGGGTGGGGGTGGGGTGACCGGCAGCAGTGGCGGTGGCAGCAGCTCCTTGTGGAGCATTGTGCAATTCAATGGGGCGTCTGTACAGAGCCTGGCACGGCGCCTGACACAAGGCACAGTAGCAGGCATTGGCTGCCTCAACGAGCTGCTTACCAGCCTGACTTCTCTGTCAGGCCCCAAACCTGGGAATGGGATTCAGCAGGCTCCCCATGATCCAATCCAGCCTTGTCACCCTTGTCGCCCTTCTAGAGCCTGCAACACTTCCTCCTCCAGGAAGCCTTGCTGACATTTACGAGCCAGCGGAGCTGTCCCTCCACTGCCCTTTCACAGCCCATGTAGCACCAACACCGGTGACATCCGGCCTGATAGCTGTCACTTGGATCCTTGTCCTTCCTCCCGCTCCAATCAAAACCTAGCAGCACCTCGAACTACTTCACGTCCCCTGTCGCCCCTCACCGCAGACATTTTCCATACATATTTAAAGAATTACCCTAATGTTCCACTTCAAGTAAAAAACGCCCAAGTCCTCCAAACAGTGCAGATATTTCAAGCCATACTCGAAACCAAATTCCAACCCAGTAGAAGTCTGCCTGGCCTCCAGAGACGCCCAGGCCTGGCTCTGGTCCTAAAGCACAGACATGAGGCCAAAAGCACAGACCTGCAGGTCACAAGCCCAGGTCAGAGATGGCTGTGGGCTGCCAAGACCCCAGCCCAAAAGCAGAGTGTCTCGGCTGGCTCCTAGTCTAACTTCCAATCCATGGCTTCTCATTCCGGAGCACATCCTCAATCTGTGATTCCAAAACTATTCCTTACATACCCAGCGTGACAGGGGCTCACTATCCATCTTCTCCTGCCTGCTCGCTCCTTCACCTGTCGACTCCTGCAGAACTCTTTTCCTCCTGCTCTAATCAGGACGACCAGGACAGTCTGACCACAGGGCAAGGGATGGCCCCAGTTGTCAAGATCCTGTTAGTTCTGTAGCCCCTCTGCTCGGTACCCAGTTTGTCTGGGTCCTCTCATGGTGTAGCTGAGCAGAATTTTCTCTCCTGCTTCTGTGAGCTGATAGTGAATGGTCAGCCCACGAAGGCTTCCATTCCAGAGGCTCCAAAGCCTACAAACCATGGCAAATCCCACGCTCTGCTCAAACAGGCCCCAGAGGCCACAGCGCTGTAATACACAAACTCTCCTCCCCCAAAACTCCTTTTATTATCTACCCCACACACCACCCTCAGCCGTAGAGGGTCATTTTAAGATGTCATTAATTAAACAGCCATTTGTCTTCTACTTTTTTTAAAGTAACTACTCAAGTCTTCCCCTCATCAGAGTCTTGGCAGCATGAGATACCACGCCCCCCAAAAGACTGGGCCATAGTGCACATGGCAACACAGGCCTGGGATCCCAGGATTAAGGAGGCTGAGACAGGAGGATCACAGAGAGTTCCAGGTCAGCCTGGACTATATAGTAAGTTCAAGATCAGTCAGGCTATGTAGTGAGACCTTGTCCCAAAAAGAAACAAGGAAAAGACTGGGCCAGCCCAGGGCATGAAAGCCCTGGGAGTTTAAACTACCATACCCATTTACTTCTGGGATTTTTTCTGAGATCCTATGGAGTGTCCAGCTCTGGGTGAGTGGACGTGAATGCATGCATGTTCCACTGAGATTCTGCAGTCCTCACTTTGGCTCAAAGCTCACTACCTACTTCGAGCTTCAAGGACTTTTGGAGCTAGCAATGAGGATGCATGGCCAAGTCACATAAGCACACATGCAGGATATAAACCCCATGGCCTGAGGCCTCTCATCTGTCCTGGGGCTGCACTTCTGAACCCTGTCTCTGCCCCTGCTGATCTGAAGTGACCTGGTGGTCTCAATGGAGATGTCAGGCTCTGCCATCCCCTAGGTGCCCCAGGGAAAGGCCTGTTGACAAAGGCACCAGCTGTCCCCAGTTGGAGCCAGGGAGACAGGCTCCTCCCTGCCCCACCCACAGAGTGTGCCTGCCTGGGACCAGCCAGCCACAGACCTTGGACGGCGGCGGAGCTCCAGGCCCAGGCTCCAACTGACCTCCCTCCTGCTCCAGCTGGCCACACTAACAAGAGCCAGGGCACAAGATTCACCCAGGCAAGTGGCAGGCAGAAGGGAGCACCCGCTGGGGTCAGGGAGATAGGGAGGAGGGGCAGGTGTCCACAGTACCTCAACTGAAAATGAAACCATGAGGCCAGACTCACAAGACCTGGTAGAGTCCTGTGGCTGGGACACAGGGCTGGGATCAGGGGTCACTGTCAGCTGCCACACTTCCTACCTGTGTGACCTTTATCATTCTGAACCTCAGTCTCATTCTCTACAAAATGTAGTTAATAATCATGTGGGCGAGCTAAATGAGACAATGTATGCAAAACAATCAGTTCAGTGCCCAGCATGTAGTAAACATGTAATAAATACTTGTTGAATATAAGCATGCTGACATTTACTAAGGTATACAGACTCATTTCATCCTCACTGTAGCAGATACTTTATTTTTTCCCATTTCATAGGTAAGGAAACTGAGGCTGGGTGAAAGGAAGGCACCGGCTCAAGGTCACACAGCTGGGAAGTGACAAACACCCAGATCTAACAGACCCAGTAACACTGTCCTGGACATAGCGAAGGTCTCCCGGCAGCAGGGGGAGGTCAGACAATGGGGCGTGAGGGGGTGGGGCTCCCTCTCTATCCCCGAGCCTGGCATGGTTCCTGGCACGGAAGAGCCAGGTGGTGTCCTCAGATTCCTGGCAGGTCCCAGAGTGCCAGCGTCCTACCCGTCCCCTCCTCACTCCAGTCCCAGAGCATTAAAGCGCAGCATGGGGGTGGGGGGCCTCGTCGCCCCGGGAACCCGAGGGAGGAGGGGAGTCAGAGACCAGGCCGCGCGCAGCCCGCAGAAAACCGGTCGGGCTGCCTTCCCCTTCCCAGCCGGGACCCGGCCTCTAACCCCCTCCCTCGCCAGACAAAAGTTTCCCCTGTTCCAGCCGGGGAGGGGGAGGGGGCATTCCTCGTGAGTGACATTATCCGTGACCTACAGCTGCCGCGCCGCCCCGGCCCGCACCCCGCCGGCCCCGCACCCTGCGCGCGGGCCCCGGACGCCACCGCCCGCACCAAACTTGCGCCGGCGGCCGCTCGGGCCCCGCGCGGCCTGCACGCCGGGTTCGGGCCCCGCCGGCTCGGCGACAGGGGATGGCCCGGCCCCGGCTCTCCCGGCCTCTTACCTGCGGCGGCCGAGGCGCCACCGGCGAGCAGGCTCCTGGCGAGGCGCGGACGCGGGTCCCCGGCAGGGTTAACCCCTTCGCGGCCGCCGCCACCCCCGCTCCACGCCGCAGCCGCGCGCTCCGCCCCCCGCGCGCCTCCCTCTTCCCTCCTCCTCCTCCTCCCGGCGCCCAGCCCCCAGGCCCCGCCGGCTCTGCGCCCCGCCGCTGGCGCTGCCCGTCCCGGGGCGGCGAGGGGGTCCCCGAAGGCTGGGAGTCGGGGCGCGCTGCCTCGCACGGGCGCCGAGAGGCGTTCGCGCGCGGCTCCCGGACCCCGGCCCGCGCCTACCTCCTCGGAGCGCGGCTGTGCGCGCGGGGCTCGATCCGGCCGGGGCTCCGGCGCCGCGCGATCCGTGCGGGGCCGCAGGGCAGCCGGCGGCGAGCGCCCCGGGGCGGAGGCCGGGGCGGGACCCGCGCGCTGCGACCGGCGCTGGGGTTTCTCGGCTTCCACCCGGATTCTCCCTCGGCTTTCCCGGCCGATTCGGTGCTGCTCGGCGACCACGTGACGCCGGCTGCCTTTGACCCCGGTCTCGGGGCGGGGGCCGGCGGGGGTGTCGGAGGCGAGACCCACGAGGACCCCCGGCAGCTGCTGAGGCTCCGGGGGGCGATGATCCTGGGGAAACAAAGCCCGGGGGAAACCAGCAAGTTATTCGGGGTCAGAGAGGGAACAGCGTTGGGGGTCGGAAGAGGCGGCAGAGAGAAGGAGAAAGACAAAGACCCAGCCCGCCGCGCCTCCGAGGGTCCGAGAGCCCCAAACGCGCTCTGGCCAGGCCCGCGGGATCTTCCCTGCTCTGCCACGCTGGGCTGGTGACAGCCCTCTAGGGCCTCCTCGGACAGCTCCTTCAGGACCGCGAGGTCTGTGCCGGAGTGACACCCCACCCCGCAGGACCTCCTCCGGCACACCCCCTTGCCCTGCGCCCGAACCCCTGCATGTCCTTTATCGTGACTATCTGGCTCCCTTACTGACTGGTTCATTGTTCGCTAGAATGTCATCTCCCCCAACAAGTTGTACCCAGCTGAATCCTCTGCCTGCCAGCTACCAAGCAGATGAGAGGTGGATGACCTTGTGCCAATTTCTTTTCCCTCAGCGCATGTTTCCCACCCCCACTGGCATTCCATCCACCACAAGGCCCCCGCATGTCAGGCAAGGTGTCCCCAGTAAGGAGATGGGAACGCTGAGGCCCAGAGAGCTGAGATGGCCAAGAGCTAGCTCAGTCCTTCCTGCCATCCTTGGACCAGCCTGTAACGTGGGGGGTGGGGCTGTTGGTTGTGAGTCCTTTAAGGAAGTTGTTTTATTAATGGTACAGTTTGCCAGGCCCCTCCCCTGGAGATCCTGCTTCTGCTGGTCTAGAGGAGGCTGGAGGCAAATTTGGAAAACTGGATTACTAGATTCTTAGGACCTTCAGAGGCTCAAGGCAAACAGGCTGAGGCTCAACATAGATCCAGAGAGATGGGGTCAAGCTTCTACTTCTCATGTCATGTGTGACACACCTTAGGGTGTGGTTGGACAATCAGCTAGGACCAAGCCTAAGGATGATGACCACTGTCCCAAACTGCAGGGCACGTCCAACCAAGTACATACTCCGGCCACCACCCATGGGGCAGGAAAAAACAGCTCAGACCAGCAGATTCCTGGTGATCTGCTTCCTGTGGCAGGCAATCTGAAGTCCTTGATGATGGCCTGGGTCTTGGGCACAGTGAGAAAGCACCTTAGAAGGTCACCCTGCATGCATGCAACCCTGTGCATCACTCCTCTGCACTGAGGCACTGTGCTCCTGGCAAGAGAGGGGTGGGGTTAAAGGAGCAGGGTATGCACTCTTGAAAAGTTGTTTTGGAATGATCTGCATGTCCTTCCTCGAAGCCTGGGCCTGCCGGAGAGGTGAGAGCAGGTGCAACTGCTCACAGGAGGGCAGCCTGTGAGGAGGCTTGAGAGGGTCAGGCTCTGAGCTGGGCCATGGTGGGAGTGGGCTGGCACCACACTGGGACAACCTGTGCAAAGGCCTTGGGAAGAGCCGAGCATTGCCAAGGGAGCAGGATAGAGAAAGTAGCGGGGGGGGGGGGGGGGAGTGTGGGCTCAGTGTAGTGGTACATGTCTGTAACCTTAGCACATGGGAGGCTGAAGCAGGAGGACTGAAGCCAGCCTGGGCTACAAAGTAAGTTCAAAGCTGGCCTGAACTGCATAGTGAGACCCTGTCTCAAAAAGACAAAAAAAAAGAAAAAAAAAGAGGAAGCCCCTGAGTGGGGGTGACTCCATGTCCCTGACAGCCTTTCCTGATCTTCAGTCTTCAGCAGGGATGCTCACAGAGCTGGGCCAAAGCTTTCTACCTGGCTGTCCCCTGGAGAGCCCATGAGGCAGGTGGGGAAGCCAGGGCCCCCAAGGGGTGGCCCAGGGGGTGGAGAGGAGGCTGAGAGCTGACCCCAGCCACTTGGGGACTCAGGGGACCTGCCTGTGAGCTGCCCTGCTGCCCCCTCCTCTGCTCCTCAAAACACCCCTGCCTAGGTCCCTCTTCAGGCCCAGTGACACTTCACTGCACCCTGGACAGCTTCCTCGGATCCCTCAAGGTCATGTAAAAGGTTGACCTCACTGCACTCAGCCCCTGTACCCATGCCCCACCCCTAGGTCATCAGACACCTCACCCATAAGCCAGGCCCACTGCTCCTGTCTCTGATTTTGTTTGCTTGTTTGTTTTGGTTTTTTGAGATGCGTCCCACTATGTTGTCCAGCCTGGCCTTGAATCCATGGCAGTCCTCCTGCCTCAGCCTCCTGAGTGTTGGATTACAGGTGTGTGCCCCCAAGCCCAGCTTCAGTTTCTCTTTTCTCTCAGCCAACCCCATGCCCCCACCCTCATCCCTGCCCGGTGCAGTCCTCCCAACACCTCCGCTTTGATCCATGTGGGTGACATCTTCCCTTTACCCCTCACCCCAGCTCTAATGCAGCCTCTCTCGGTGCACATTTCCTCCCAAAAACCACCAGCAGCTCCACCTCTCCTGGGATGAAAGCTCTGCCATGGTGAGAGCCCCATGGTGGGGTCCACACCCCCACTTTCCCCTTCAACTGACTGGTGCCTTGTTAAAGGTCTGGAATTCTGCCTCTGCCACATTTAAATCACATGAACTTGGTCTGTTTTCCAACCTCTCCATGCTAAAGTCTGGGTAAAAGCTGGAGCAGTGGCTCTCCCAGTAATTCCAGCCCTCCTGGGAGGCAGAGGCAGAAGGGACAGCCAGGAGTTCAAGTCCAGCCTGAACTAGGCAGTGAGGCCCTGTCTCGATAAATAAAGAACAAGTACATGCTTCCGAGGGCTGCTTGTAACAATTAAATGAGTGACAAATGGAAAACCCTTCGTGGTGTCTGTCCCATGTAAGCACTATATAAATGTTCACTGAGTGACTCACCATGATCTCTAGATTTCCAGGTTAAACTTCATTTCCTCCCAGGTCTTCCCTAACTGCCTAATTCAGGCCGAGTTCCTGGCACACACTTCCTCTCCTCCTCACCACCCTTCGGGGTCCTTGTCAGGAACTGTGGGCAGGACTGGGTTTGTTTCAAACACGCCTGAGCCCCCTGCCCCACACAGCACCAGGCACATCTCGGCAACCTGATAATCTTGGCTGAATGGGAGAAGAGAGGAGACCAAACAGATCAGCACAGAACAGAGCACGTGGCTACCTCCAAGGGCCGTGATGGCACTCGTTCCCTGACTCACTGGACACTGATCAGTTAGCACCTCTCTAGAATCTCCCTCCCCTCCTGGTGGGGGAGGAGGAAAAGACACAGGAATGAACCAGATAGACGTGGTTGCCCTGTCTTCAGCAGCACCTCCAAATCCACGGAAGATGCAGTACAATGCAACCATGCCCTTGTAGGGTTTGGGGGTTTTGTTGTCACTGTTGTTGGTTTGGTTTGGTTTTATCTAAGACAGGGTCTCTCACTGTGTTAGCCAGGCTAACCTCAGACTCACGGTGATCCTCCTGCCTCAGCCTCCAGAGTGCTGGGATTATAGATGTGTGCCACCATGCCTGCCCCTAACTATGCTATTTTTTTTTTTTTTTTTGTCTTTTTCCTTTTTATCAGTCCGGGGATTGAACTCACAAGGCAGGCGCTTATGCCACTGAGCTAAATCCCCAGCCCCAACTATGCTATTTTTATGCTCTGTGGTGATTTCCTTGCCCAGGAACCTAGAGTCTTTGGAACAATGAAAGTGAAAAATAACTAAAAAAACAGACCCTATTCCTTTAGCCAGCAGGGCAGGCAATAACAAGAGCAGTAGAACCTACTCCAAGTACATAAAGCCAGCTCCCCTTTCCCTCCATGCAGACCTCCTATTTAGCCCCCAAAGCCCTGTGTAGACAGCACCTCCTCCAGGAAACCTTGCTGCTCCGGTTAGAGACCTGTTTGGGCCCCAGCCACTGCTCTGTGATTTTCTGGGAATAGTGTGGGATTTGTCAAGGTTACTCCAAATTTTTTTTTCCTCTCTCTTTTTTAAAATAGTGTCTCACTATATAGTTCACACTGGCCTTGAACTCACCATGTAGCCCAGACTGGCCTCAAACTCACAACAATCCTTCTGTTTCAGCTTCCTGAGTGCTGGGATTACAGTCATGTACCACCAGGCCCCACTACAGATGATCCAAATTTCATGTCATGTATTTCTTTTTAAAAATAAAAGGTGATACCTGGACTGTATAACTACATTCGATTCCATGTTCGACTTTAGTGGAGACAGAAAATAGCCTTTGTCAGCCCACGTGACCTGATTTGTGGTTTGCAGAACATGGCCACCATAATTACAGCACTGACCACATGGTGTAGCCATTTCCTTGTCCCCCCCCACTCTCATGGGCACACTCATGCACACACATGCATGAACGCGTGTGCGCACACACACATACACACACACACACACAGTGAACTTTTCCAAGGATGAGGGTTCTGTGCTGACCAGCAGACTCTGACATGGTGAGCAAATCAGACGATCTGTGAAATGGACAGTCCACCCGGCTTCAGCTGGACAGTGGACAGCATCGGCTGTGGACATCAGCATTCCCGGAGACGGAACCTGAGGAAAGCGCAGTGAGCAGCAGCTTCCTCTGGGGCCCGCATTTGCTGTCTTCCGTCCGCTACCCAGCAGCCCCGAGCCGGAGGCTCGGCGAAGTGAAGCGACCTCCCCAGGATCGCACAGGCAGGGATCCAGGTCTGTTCCACGAAAAGACTGCATTCCTGCGGCTACTTTCCCCACATCTGGGCTCCCAGGCGCTGTAAGCTCCCAGCCACTCGAGACGCGGGGCTTGGTTACTCCTCTCCTCACTCCCACAGGATTCCTCCCCTTCCCTTCCACACACAGGCATCAGTGATGCTGCTATTTGAAGAGTTTATCGAGCCAGTGCCCACCGCAGTCCCATCTAGGGGGCCAGTTTCCTGTGGGGCAAAACCTAATGATGCATGCCAGGTGTCCTCTTCCCCGTGGCTAGCACAGTCCCTTTCATATATAGCAGGTTTTTTTTTTTTTTTTTTTAAGACAGGAGTCTCGCCAGATATTTCAGGACTCGTTGGTGATCCTCCTGCCTCAGCCTCCTGACCAGAGTGCTAGATTACAGACATATACCAACATCTCCTGCTATTTTTCTGGCTTTTAAAGCTCTTTCTTGTTCTTACACCAATTCCTGATGGCCCCACATCCCTGAGAGGTAGACATGCTGGAGATTTTTACCCTGCTTAACAGGTAAAGAAAGGGAGGTTTGGCCAATCTGCAGGAGAGCCACACAGCGAGGAAAGGAAGGTCTTGAGGCCAGCGGGCCCAGTCCTTTCAAGTCCCCAGAGGAGACTTAGATAACTGAGAAGGTTAGGGTAAAAGATCTTCAAACTCCTCACAGAGAGATAACAGCTCCTGCAAACAAACTCGAGCTTGGCTTGCAGTGACCACGGTCAGCTAGAGGCTCAAAGTTCCCTGCAGACAGGGCCTGGCCAGATAGAGTTAGCAGACGGAAAGCCGGGCGGCCTGTGCTGGGTGGCCCACTTCCCTCAGCGCCTGCCACTCTGTCCACAGCCTCCTGAGTTTGAGCTTTTGTGTGCCCGTGTGCTGGGTACTGGACCCCGAGCTTCACACTGAGCTACATCCCCTAGCCTTTTAATTTTTTTTTTTTTTATTGAGTTGATAAATGGCTCATGCTAGGCTTGAACTTGCGGTCTTCCTGCCTCAGCCTCCCAGAGCGGTGGGATTACAGGCCTGCACTATCACACCTGGCTTGCTTCTTTGCTGGTGAGATTAAACCCAAGGCTGTGGTGGCACGTGCCTGTAATTCCCGCACTGGGGAGGCTGAGGCAGGAGGATCACTGCAAGCTCTGAGTTTGTGATTCCTGAACTTGTCAAATTAGTCCAATTCTCCTCCTTTATAGAAATGGAAAAACTGAGGCACGAGGACAGGGATAGGCCCACTCAGATTATGAGGAACAAAACTAGAGGCAGAGCTATAACTAGACCAAGGAGGCCCAGGGCTGTTCGCTCTCTGGCCGTGTGGCTCAGAAGGGAGAGGTGGGTAGAGGGGAGTCAGTGCCCCCAGAAAGGCACAGGTCCAGTGGGGAGGTCCAGACCCAATGGAGAGAGGAAGGCAGGGAGGAGCAGGCCAGGCCGTGAGGGGATGGGAGCTGCACAGTGGCCAGCCCGCCCAGCGGCTGTCTGCTCCAACAGGCACAGATGTTCTTACCATTCCCAGGCTCCCTCCACTCGGGCCTGTCTGGGCTGGACCTGCCCAGGGAACAGCCAGGACTGAAGGAGGGCAGAGGGGAGGAAGCAACACAGCACACAGCCACACCCACTCATCCTCCCAGGGCCATCTCCTCTTCTCCAGAGCCTGCCCTCCAGCCACGCTTGGATGGAGGTCAAGTGGTCCACAGTTCGAGTCCAGGGCCAGGTCTCACTCATCTTTGTCCACCTTGGCTTCAATTGTATCTCTCAAATGTGGATAATAATAATCAGCCCACGGTGTTGTTGAGAGGATTAAATGAGATATTAGGAAACATCTTAGCATGAGGCCTGTCATAGCTATAGTTGTTGCAATTATTTTTACTTGGTGCTCCCCTAAATTGCTGGATCCTCTGTCTGCCTTCCTTCTTTGTGTCTCTGTCCCTGTCTTCCCCCCTCCCTGTCACTCTCTCACCCTGCACCCCCCACACACAGTGCTCGGTGGTCTGCTCTGCCAGCTCTCACACTCCTATCACCCACTGACCCCTGCTCCAGCCAGGCAGAGACTGACAATGTCTGCGATGCCTTCTGCTCTGTCTACCTCCACCTCTGTCTCCTCCAGGAAGCCTTCCCTGACCTCCAGGCGAGGACCCTTGGGTAGGCTGTGTCTCCAGCACACCTTGGAATTCCAGCTATAAAAAGGCCCTTTCTTTTCTCTCCTCCAAAGTGTCTTAAAATTGAGGAATTTGGGGGACCCTTAAGTCTTCCTCTTGATACCTGTGCCTCCTGACCCCTGCAGTTGCAGTGACCCATCCTCACACATCTTCCCAAGGCTGGAACCATCTAGAATTCTAGCCCTTTCGCAAGCCTGAGGCAGGAGGATCTTCAGTTCAAGACCTACTTAAGCAATTTAGTGTTTTAGCCTTAGGCCTTGTGTCAAAACAAAAAAGAGGGCTGAGCACACCTGTAACCCCAGCACTCAGGAGGCTGAAGCAGGCAGGAGTGTCACTAAGAGTTCCAGGCCAGTCTGGAGTAGTGAGTTCACCGTCATAGTGAGTTTACGGTCAGCCTGAGTTACATAGTGAGACCCTGCCTCAAAAGAAATAAAACAAAACAAAATAGAAAAGGGGCTGGGAAGCTGGGCGTGGTGGTGCATTCCTATAATCCCAACACTAGGGAGACATGCTGATCGTTCCAAGTCGAGACCAGCCTGGGCTACAAAGTGAGCCCAAGGTCAGCCTGAACTGTATAGTGAGACCTTGTCTCAAAAAGGCAAAAAAAAAAAGTGGCTGGGGATTTAGCTAAGCAGCATAAGCACCTGCCTTGCAAGTGTGTGGTCGTGAGTTCGATCCCAGGTACCAAAAGAAAAAAAAAAAGTGGGCGGGGGATGCTGGGAATGTAGCTCAGGGTGAAGGACCTGGGTTTGACTCCCATTACCAGAAAAAAAAAGACTAAAATGAGAAATTCCCTTAAAAAAGAAGAAGAAATTCTACTCAGCTCAGCTGTTCTCATCTCTGTGTCTTCCTGTGAAGGGGTGAAAGACATCGTATCACAGCGATGTGTGCACACCAGTGTTCACAGCAGCCCAAGTCGTAACAGCTAAGTTCTGGGAGTGGTCTGCATGTCCAACAACAGGCGAATGGAGGAAGAAAATGTGTTATGTACACACCCTGCAACACAACTGTGCCATAAAGTAATAGCACGTTCTTGCCTGTTGGTTTGGCTTTGTGCTGGGGACATAGCAAAGCACACGCTCTACCGCTGAGCTACATGCCTCCAGCTCACATTTTAAAACATCAAAGGAATGAATGAAATTAATTTTAGAAACACATTGTATGTAACCCAACATACCCAAATGTTAGCATTGTGACATGGAATCAACGTGAGGAAATCACCAATGTGACGTCTTCCAATTCTCTGCTTTGTACAAAGGCCCTCAGAATCCCGTGTCTTCCCCGGCGGTACATTCCAAGCGCTCCAAGCCACGTGAGGCTGGTGGATACAGTGCAGGGAGCATGGTTTAAAAATCAAAACCCCCATGACTCACTTTTCTGACATTCCAGCTCTCCATGCTGGGTCTCTGAGCTTCCAGAATTCAGCAGTGTTCTGAGATCCTGCAATGCTACAATCGTGCTTCCATCAGATAAAAATCTTTCATGCACCCCAAGATTGCATGTGAAGAAGGCTTTCCCCCATGTCTCTGTTGAAAAGAAATCTGGATCCCTGCAGAGCCCGAGGGATGGGTGGAGCAGGGCATACTCCTTGCACTGACCCAGCCTGGCAGAGGGGGGCAGGCACCCCACCCACCACACTGTCCCTCCAGCTCCTATGACCTCCCTCTGTCCCTGGGCACCAGGCTAGAAGCGACAACTCCCCCTCCCCAAGTCCTCCAGGGTAGTGTGGCCCGCCTCCTCCCTTCATCTTGGTCTCCACCCACTCTGGAGAGTGTCCCGGCCCCTGCGGCAGATGGAGCTGGGGAGTTAAAACCCCAGATGGAGCCCTCGAGGGTGGGACTGGGCTCCATTTGCACCAGGCTGTAGCCTGGAGACCAGGGAGGGCAGAGGTCAGGGGCCCTTGTGCGGCTTGGAAGGCCAGAGGCCATTCTGAGGGCACTCGGTGCAGACCTTTCATGGAATAGGTCGAGAGACAGAGACCCAAGAGCAGGGAGGGATTGCCAGGTCAGCTCCGAGGTGAGCCTTGCACTCTGCCCACAGGGACATCCGGTAGCCACAAGTCTCTTCCTTTAACCAAGCTCCCTGACGCCCTCCACCTGTAGGGAAAACTGAGGAGTGGAACTGGCACAGCCAGACGTCAATGAGGCTGCAGAAGCCAGGCTGGGTGGCATTTGCCTGTAAGCTCAGCGCTCAGGAGGCTGAGGCAAGAGAGTCACTGCAAGTTCTCGGCCAGCCTGGGCTACACAGTGGGTTCATGTCCACCCTGAACTGCAAACTCAGATCTTGTCTAAAACAACAACAAAAAACGAGGTTGCAGGAAGATCC